TCCCAGCCATTCATAACTAAGAGAAAAAAAAGTTGTCATTGTAAGGATGAGTCAAGTATAAATACATTTTAGATTGTCACCAAACATGCACTTTTGTAAATGGATTGTTGTGCCTTGTTGATTTTAAAATATTTTAGTATTGTATTTAACATTTTTATATTAATATTTGTTTAATTATTTTTAATCAATAGTATACTTACTATTTTTAGTATTTAAATGATGTTTTTAAATGATTTAAGCCACCTTGAGTCCTTTTTAAGGAGAAAGGTGAGGTAAAAATTATTTAAATAAAATAAAATGCTTTCCTGGAAGCAAGCCCAGCTGAACTCAGATACATTTCAGCTGTGAGGCTGCCTTAATTTATTTTTGCAACTATGAAATGAATCTGGATGTCCTGTGCATATTAACTGGCAAGTATTAGCATATAATTAGATATATCTATATTTCGGGAAATCTGCATGGACAATCAGGAATTCTACAGGATCAAGGAATCACTGATTTGCATAGAGCTTTTATGATGCAGTTTTGTCAGCCGTAACAGGAGAATGCATCTAAACACTTTGAAACCACTTTCACTCTAACAATATAATTAATAGAGCAATATCAAACAGTAACACAGGGACTGGTAACATTGATTCTCCAGATGTTGTTGACCCTGTCATGAACTGTGTTGGCCAGAGTGGAAGGGAGCTGTGGCCCAGCATCTGGAGGCCCACCCCTGCTGCATGGTGTCACCCTTAGAAATTAAAGTTTCATAAATGCAAAAAGTGTGGTACCCTGTCCCTTTGTCATGGTGAAATGACAGTGGTCCTGGAATGTTGGGGTGCTGGCAGGAAGATGCTACAAGTGGGTAAAGACTATTATCTTCAGACAAGCTTTCCCTTAATGACTGTCTGGAAGGTTGTTGTTATTTTTTTAATATGGAGTGTTGTGCCTTGTTTCTTTGAATCTAGTTTTGGTGTTGAGTTTGTTTTCTGCTTTAAGCATGGTACTTGTTTGATTATTTTTAATATTTGTATGCTTACTGTTTTTTGCTTTTAAATACTGTCTTCTAATGATGTAAATTGCCTTAGGCCCTTTTTAATGGAGAAAAGCAGGGTAAACATTTCAAATAAATAAATACAGGAGAAACACTAAACATATCTGCTCAAAAGTAAGAACAATGAAGTCAGAAGGACAATGAAGTGGCTCTACCATAGCAACCTTAATGTACACAGAAAGCATATCTGTGACTCTCGAGAAACTGATGTGTTCAGAGGTGAACTAGGATGGTAGACTAGTTAAGAGCTGGAGCTGTGATTCCTACTGATTTTCTGCAGCCATACTTTTGAGAAGTATTACTTGATTACCGATGGAAACATACAATAATTTACAGGTGAATACTATTCCTATTACTGCTGTGCTAACCACAATAAAATCCAAAACATCAGATGAAAAACAATAACTAATGCCCATACTTCACTCTGGCTCAATTCATCCTTACGCATATTTGCAGGATCCCTACATGTGATGTGGAGATGGCTGTGCTGCACACACACTGAATATGAATGTAGCCATTTATTTTTCATGTCTGTGTGCATGTGCGAAATGGGCACGTTTTAGAAGCGTATGGTTGTGTGAAATAAAACCTCTATGTGCCTCGTTTGCATGGGTAGATAAATACTTCTTCTGGGGAGGGGCTCAGCACAATGCAAAGCTCTGCACAAGGACCCTGTATAATTTCAAGGAGTGTGGTACACGGGCAGCCTATATATGTTTGGTGTATTTGGAGATTGCTGTAACATTTACAGAGCTACAAGGGCCCTGAGTGTGAAGGGATAAGAGGGCTATGTCATACTAAGGAGAGGGGAAGTCAAAATACTTGTTCCATGAGTATGACCACTTGTCAAACACGTACCTGTAAGAAATGTCTAATTATAATGATTTTAGAACTCAAGAACTGGATGGGGCCCCCTAAGGATCATTGAGTCCAGCCCCCATCAAGGAGACACAATGGGGAATGGAACTCCTAACCTCTGGCTCTGCATTAACATGTGAAATGAAAATAAGAAGAGGAATGGTAAAGTCTAATGATTTCAAAGACGTATGGAATTTAAACTTGGAATATATATATGTCTTTGAAGGGGAAAGGCTAGATGACAGCAGAAGAATCATTGTATTTTTGGGAGAGGAATGGGGTGAAAAGTGGTACAAATTGACATTATTGGTTACTTAGTTCCAAGGATCATTGACTATGCAAAAGTTTTTAACTGTGTCAACCACATTAAACTATGGCAAGTCCTTAAAGAAATGGGAGTGCCTCACCACCTTATCTATCTCCTGAGAAAACTATATGTGGGACAGGAAGCAACAATTAGAACTGGCTATGGAACAACTGATTGGTTCAAAATTGGGAAAGGAGTACGACAAGGCTGTATATTGTCTCCCTGCTTATTTAACTTATATGCAGAATACATCATGCGAAAGGCCAGACTGGAGGAATCCCAAATTAAGATTGCTGGAAGAAATATCAACAACCTCTGATATCCAGATGATACCACTCTAATGGCAGAAAGTGAGAAGGAATTAAGGAACCTCTTAATGAAGGTGGAAGAGAAGAATGCAAAAATAAATAAATAAATGGTCTGAAGCTCAACATCAGAAAAACTAAGATTATGGCCACTGGTCCCATCACCTCCAGGCAAACAGAAGGGGAAGATACAGAGGCAGTGACAGATTTTACTTTCTTAGGCTCCATGATCATTGCAGATAGTGACAGCAGCCACGAAATTAAAAGACGCCTGCTTCTTGGGAGGAAAGTGATGACAAACCTAGACAGCATCAGGAAATCAACCCTGAGTGCTCACTGGAAGGACAGATCCTGAAGCTGAGGCTCCAATACTTTAGCCATCTCATGAGAAGAGAGGACTCCCTAGGAAAGACCCTGATGTTGGGAAAGTGTGAAGGCAAGAGAAGGTGACGACAGAGGACGAGATGCCTGGATAGTGTCATTGAAGTTACCATGAATCTGACCCAACTCCGGGAGGCAGTGGAAGACAGGAGGGCCTGGCGTGCTCTGGTCCATGGGATCACGAAGAGTCGGTCATGATTTAACGACAAAACAACAGGTTCCAAGGGTGAAGGTGGCACAGGTGGGAAATGTTTTAACGACAAGTTCCAAGGGTGAAGGTGGCGCAGATGGGAAATGTTTATTATGTGTAGTTATTACTGAGTTTGTATTTTAGTCTCATTTCTGTTATTTCTAACTTCCTTTTCTTACCAATAAAATAAAATAATAAAAAACGCCTCTGATTCTGCAGCTGGAGACTTAAGCCACCAAGCTATCCAGCATTTTGTTTGTTAACACTATCATGTTACCTGGATTAATATCCCAGCTTTCTCTGCTATAAAATAGTTGTCTCCCTTGACAGAGGCTGCCCTTTGTCCCATAAACAACTGCTAGCTGTGTCTAGTTGGCACAAAGCTTATCGTCTGGATACGACCTGCCAATTACCAGTTTAATTGCCCCATTCCTGTGTGAAGCGACCACTGCTACTTCCTCTATTACCTGCATCCTCACCTGGCCTTGACTCTCATCACCACGGGAATAAATAGAGTGACACTCTTTGTGTCTGAAGCAGTGGATTTGGGTCCCTCGATACTGGCACGGAAATAAACCCGTTAGTTTTTAACGTGCCACAACACTCTGCCGCCTCCCTGCCCGGCTCCTTCTTTTTGCCACCCTGGTGAGACAGACCAGGGGAAGACAGTGACCGCCTTGGGAAATACCAGTAAAAGGCAACGTGCCTTCGGCCATGCGTTTCTAATTAGTTGGTTCCGACGTTTTTTACTATATAGGGGCCACGGGTATAAAAAAGGTGTTGTGCGACTGTCATTGTCAGTTCTGTGACTACAGAAGTAATTTGTTGCCTTACACGTTGTTACTGCATTGTGTTGTTGCTCCCAAAAGGACATAAAATTACACAGTTATATTCTCTGCTTTCCTCTAATAGCCAATTCCGAAATTACAAAACATATCCAAAGGGATCAACAGTACTAATTGACTAGCACACAAGTGCCCCAAGGAGTGCAGTGCGCGGAGAGCCCGTCGCCTCGGGCCACAAAAGCCTTAGGAGCGCCGAGAGGAAAAGGCAGGCTCCGGGGGCGCGTCTCCGGCCGCTCGGCGTCGCCGGGAGGTGTGTCGCGGGTGGGCGGCTTCTCGGGAATCGGCGTCGCCAGGCGAGGCGAGGCGAGGCGGGG